AGAAATGGAAAAGGGATTTTGGGAGGATATTGAGATTGATTTAAGGTCAGCTAATACAGAGAATGGAGCATGTCTGGATGTAAAAGCAAGGGGGTTTTATAGACAAGGCCAATGCGCATTTTTTGACGTTAGAGTTGCACATGTAAATGCCATGTCTAATAAATCCCAACCAATTGAGAATATCTTACATCGACACGAAATGGAAAAGAAAAGGGCTTATAACAAAAGAGTCATTGAAATTGAACAAGGAGTTTTCACACCACTAGTTTTTGGAACAAATGGGGCGATGGATGTATTGCTTTTCATAAAATGTTGGCATCGAAGATCACGGAAAAATATAATAGTCCTTATTCAACGATAATGGCTTATTTAAGAACAAAACTCTCTTTTAGTTTAATTAGGTCAGCCCTTTTATGTCTACGTGGAACAAGAATACCTTTTTATAGTGACAATTTATCTTTTAACTTTTAAATTTTACATCAACATAATTTTGTAAAACTGGTTTAATTAGGGCAGGCTTGTTATGCCTACGTGGAACAAGATTACCTTTTCAAATAATATAATGTATATGTGTAAATATTGATATAAATTAGATTTCGAAAGGATAATTAAATAATTGATCCTGTCACAAGCATAACAGCCTCTGACACAATTGAATTTCTGTCGCAGCAAACTCCGGAGTTTTTATCGATTTAGCAAACAGTTACCTACACATTAAAGCAAAGATTACAGCGTCAGATGGTGCAAACGTTGCTCAAGATGTCCTGGTCGGTCCTGTGAACCTATGGATGCATGCACTGTTCTCACAAGTAGAAGTGTTCCTAAACAACAAATTGGTAACACCGTCCAGTACGGCCTATCCTTACCGAGCTTATATGGAAACTATCCTGAACTTTAGCAAGGATGCCAAGGATTCTCATCTCACCTCTGCTTTATTTTACAAAGATAGTGCGGAAAAAATGGACAATGTAAACCCGCTAGCTCTTCAAGCAGATGTGAATACAGGTCTAAAAGAACGTCATACACATACTCGTGGGAGTAGATCTGTTGCTATGGAAGGCAGACTACATTCGGATCTATTTGCACAAGAGCGCTATATTTTCGGAGCAGTTCCAATAAAGATTAAATTGGTTAGATCACGAAACCCATTTTGTTTAGTCTCATCTGCTGCGGATCCAAGTTTCAAAGTAGTTATTGAAGAATGTGTATTTCGCGTGCGACGCGTCAACGTATCGCCAAGTGTAATAATAAACCATTCCCAAGCCCTACAGCATACGACGGCCAAATATCCGATCAATCGCGTCGAATGTAAAGTTGTCACTGCCCCCCGAGGAAACATGTCGGGAAATCAACCCAATATATTTCAAGGTATTCTACCAAATTGTATCGTTGTTGGTATGGTCGATGCAGATGCGTTCAATGGTAGTTATGCAAAGAATCCGTTCAACTTCAAGAACTACGACATCACAAATTTTGGGCTGAATGTAAACGGTGAAAACCTACCTGGAAAACCATTTCAACTAAAATTTGCAAGTGCAAGAGGAAGTAACTACATTTCAGCATTCCAAACACTGTACGCTGGGACACATAAAATGTTTGAAAATCAGGGCAATGGTATAACTCGTGAAGAATATGCAGACGGTTTTACACTGTTTGTGTTCGATCTCACTCCTGTGCCTTGGTGATCATGCACAACCAATTAGAAACGGAAATGTTTCGATTGAATGCCAGTTTGGAACGGCCTTGGTGGCGGCTATAAATATTGTGGTGCTCGGTGAATTTCAAAGTCTTATCAAAATTGACGCGAACAGGAATGTACTGTGTGACTTCACTAACTGAACATGAATACGCTGCAGATTTTGAATATATTAAAAAGTGACTCATTTACAAAGACTGTATTTACAGACGTTTTACCATCAGATCGTTTACCTGGGCTAGTAAGAAGAAGACCAAAAGGTTTCGTAGTCAACACTGATCCGAGTAACAAACCCGGAAGTCATTGGTGTGCCTTGTTTGTCACAGAAGATGGCAGAGGAGAGTTTTGGGACTCGTACGCGAAAGCGCCAGGATTCTACAGTCAACACTTTACTCGGTTTTTTGAGAAACATTGCAGTACATTTAGTTGGAACACGAGGGCTTTGCAAGCACCCAACTCGGACGTGTGTGGACAGTATACGTTATTCTTTGCTTTGCATCGCTGTAGGCATATTCCAATGTCAACCATTGCAAACATGTTTACGGATAGCAAAGATTGGAACGACATGCTTGTACGTGACTTTATACAAAAGTGGTGTGAATAAATACAAATAATGTTAGTTTAAAAATACATTTATTGTAAAAAACATACATATTTACAAAGAAATAAATTATTTTAACCATTTATATGGACTACTGTTTATAACTTTATGCTGTTTTTTTCGTTTTTGCTGCATCGGGGTAAGATGTGGTTCGGGTGAGGGCTGGGGGACATGATCAGAAAGTCCTTTAGTTTTATATTCGCGAACAAGTCCTAAGCGATTTTCGTTTCTGATAACGCCTTCGGGTACGTTTAAATGGCCCAACGCCTTCGAAAATAACTCCCAACCTTGTGGATTAAAGTTTTTCCGCTGACGCAATGAATCGTTGACCAAATCGACGATATTTGTTCCGGGTACTGATCTTCCTTTGAACATCATTTGACCTTGTTCATTCCATTCCATTTTCTTCACCAACTGACGTGCTCTAGATTTCATTGTAGCTGGAACACTATCCAGTATGTCTGATTCAATCTCGTCATCATCCTTTATCTCTGGCATTTTTTCTTTTTTATCTTCAGTCACAGAAGGTTCGACGTTAGTCACTCTAATAGGTTTACTCATACGTTTGTCGTAAAAATTTAAGTATCGCTGTAGGGACTGGTCGTACAATTTCGCCCTTTCATCAACGGGCATGTCTTGGCGTTGAAGTAGCTCTTGCATCTCGGAGTCAATTTCACCTACTTGTGCAGTCTTTCTCTCGGTATAAACTAACGGTGGGGAAGCATCGCACAACAAACAAGCTTTTAAAATAAACAGTCCTAATGCTATGGAAAGAAACATACTATTAAAATGTTGACATACTAAACGTGTATACGGCTTTCAACCAAAATCGCACCTGATTGGTCAATTCCAATTTACCTAGCAACGTGGTAGCAACCGGAAAAGCGCGAAAATCAAATTGCAAAATCAAGTCAAAATAAAAAATTGTTTTGTCAAAAACTCAGTTGAAGACCTGATAAAATTGTGTATTAATAAATTGAGAAAAGTTCTCAAACATTTTTATGTATATTATTCTCTCTTCTGAGCTTATCTTTCTATGACAACGTGAGAAAAATTTGTTAAGCTAAAGTAATATGGAAGGAAAAGAGCCAGTAGAAGTCGTATCTTTGGGCGGAATGTTAAAATTTTTCAAAGACGACCAAAATAGTATCGAAAAGGGGGAGCAAAAATTCAAATCTGGTTTTGTTGTTCAAGTTAAAATAAAAGAGTATACAATAAATGCTATGGTTAGAGCGTCCATGAAAGACAAATGCTATGCAGTATCACTGCAAGTTAAAGGTGACGGAAACATAACAAGTGCTTCCTGCGAGTGCCCGAAGGGAAATTGGATATGTAGTCATATGGCTGCAACAGCTATATATGTAAATAAAACTGGTTTTTCTAAGACCGACCTCCCAAATTCTTGGCTTGCAAAGCCAAAAACAGCTGCCAAAAAAGATGGCAAAACTATGGCAGAGTTTTTTCCATGTAAAAGGCTGGACTACAAAGCAACACAGAAAGTCGTCTCAGAGCAGGATAGGTTGTTTTTGTTTGAAAAACTGTATAAAGCATCAGTGCATTGTCCTATGGAATGGATAGTTAAATCAGAACCAGAGCCGCCAGCAGACAAAGATAGAAATGTATTGGAGCCTGTTTTGATTGGCGATATACTGGAGGACTTCATTAAGAGTAAGGAAATATTTGTCAAAAAATGCAAAGTTTCTGCGGAACAAATTATTTGGCTAGCTGAAAAAACAAAACAGCAACGAAATTGTCAAATGTGGGGGAAATTCCGACATTTACGTCTTACAGGGAGCAACTTTGGGGACGTACTGGGGGCAATTGCAAGACACACAACATTAAATAAGCCATACCCACAGTCCTTATTCAAGAAGCTGAAAGGAGAGTATTCTATTGGGACAAAAGACTCAATCATGTGGGGGCAAATGCATGAAGAACTTGCTACTAATCAGTACATGGAAACAACTGGGAATACTGTTGAAAATGCTGGTTTGTTTTTGTTCCCATGTGGATACCTTGGTAGTACACCTGATGGTATTGTAACTTCACCAAGCCACTGTGGGAAAGGAGTCCTGGAGGTAAAGTGCCCATGGAAATACAGAAATGCAACTATTCATGAAATGATTCAGATGGAATTAAAAGATAAGGACTCAGTTAAAAGTTTTTATCTCACAAAAAGTCTTAGCTTGAACAGCAACCATAATTACTGGCATCAAGTCCAAGCTGAGATGGCTGCCACTAACACAATGTGGGCTCACTTTGTCATTTGGACAAACAAAGAAATTAAAATTCATTCATGTAGAAAAGGACTCAAAATGGATGGAGCAAAATATCCCAAAACTTGAAGAATTTTACATGACTGAACTAATGCCACACTTTTTTAGCAAAGAGGAGTAAATTAATTATTCATATAAAAAATAGTTTGTAAGCAACTGATTTAATCTTCAGATACACAATCTGACCATGCATGCAGGTGTACTGAACAAGTAAATTATATATACATCTTTAAAAGGTTTGAATCCAGGTTCTTTCATTTTGTTTGTTTTATCTGTTTTTCTAGATTTTTTACAAAAATTAAATAAGTTATTTAATTAAAAAATAATTTAAACTTATTTAATTTTTGTAAAAAATCTAGAAGAACAAATAAAACATTACAAAACATTACAAATAAAAAATTACATAAATGAAGAACAGCATCTTGAGCAAATAAGTTCAGTGGGAAAAAATAATAATATCAATAATAATAGCAACTTTACTTTATTATATTTATGATGGTAGACATTGTATATTAGTACATATGTGCACATACAGTCAATAATCTATATTATTTTCATAAGACAGTATTGTGCAATTTACTTTTCCAGTATTCCTGATATGATTGGTGTCTGGAGGTTCACCAATGCCGCACACACTTGAATAATCTTGTCAACATGTGGCCGCAATGGTGCTGTTATCAGACCTAAAATTTTGTAGTTCCTTAATCTTTCGATTGCCCTCTCAACATGTATTCTGCATCTTGATATTTGCCTTGAGAATACTGCTTCTTCTATTGTAAACTGACTCTTACCAGCGAGAAAGGCAGGTAAATTCAAGAACACATTCTTGGGGAGAAGGTCATGGATCAAAAATCCTTTGTCTGCCAAAATCAAATCTCCTGCCTATAAAAACCAACAAAACAAAATTAACTCATTTGTCAGTTAATTTAAAGTAAGAATTCTGTATTTAATTTGTGAGGGGAAATTTGTTTATGTTAAACAATTTACTTTATTTCATAAATTAAACAACTTCCCAAAGTGCTAACCAGCTGTTTGTGTATTTTACCTTTTGTCGATCAGTGCAGATTACCTCTTGAGCCAGTATAACCCAATATCAACTCAAACACTGAGTGGTTTAGTTATTTGAACCAATTTCTGATTGTAATGTTAACCTAAAATAATTACTTTGCCTACCTTAAGATGAGATATAATCCCTGACTGATCAGTTACCACTTTATCACTGGTACTGCCTGGAAACCCTTGGCTGACAAATGTTATAGCCCCATTTGGAGCAACACCAATTAGGTATTTAGCAGATAAATAGTGCTTGTAGTTACTAAATGCTTGTGCTGCAGCTTCAAGGTCTTTCCTTGGGGCTTCAATTCGGAACTCGGTGCAATCAATAATGACACGACAGTTTGCAATATTTGCAAAAGACTCTGGCAGGCAACTCTGGTTCTTTTCCAATGATGGCAATTTGCTCATACAACCATCAACAAATATCTCATGGAATGCATGCAGATATGTGAGGAATATATTTTGAATAGTTGTAACAGATACAGAATACCTTGCTCCAAGGTCAAAATAAGGGAGATCCAACCATAGTTTCATCAAGAAGATAAGCAGTTCATCTTCCACACTGATCAATGTTACTGCTTTTCCAGACCAGTATTTTAAAGGAAAGAATTGTTTGATCATTTGAACAACTGTTTCGAAAACTGATGCTTCCAATCCTGTGTAGCTTTTAATAAGATTTTCCTTGAGGTTTTTATACCTAAAAAGCTTTTCTTCTAACTGTTGGTTTTCATGTTTTGCTTCATGAAGTTTAGCCTTGACATCTTTCAACTCCGAAATTGTATGAATTATATCAGTATCCATTTCCTTTTGGACCATTTCAGACACCTTATCTGTGGACGTATCATTATTTCTAGGTTGGCACACTTCAACAGTAACATTTTGAACATTCTGCTGTCTATTTTGTTGGTTGTCATCACCATCACTGATGTTATGTGTTTCCAGTTCCAGCTTGCAACGAGCTTTCGTAGATGTATGAGAATTTCGTTTCGGAATTCTCTCGTCGTTCACTTCCCCGTGCAAGTTCCATGCAGGCACACTGCCTGGTTTGAGAGTACATTTTCTGAACTTTGCTGGAGAGTCCTTGTTCGGCTGTTTGAAGTCCTCGTCGGTAAAGTGATAGGAGCAGATGTATGAATATTCAGTTGGGTTGAAGTTAACCCTTCGAATTCTGTTAATCCAAGCAGTTCGTAGTTTTGAATCCCGTGGAAAGTGGTGAAAGCTCCTATCGGGAGTGATTTCTGATGTTCCTTTGCACCTATAAACTGAGCAGCACTTTGGCATTGCTACAAGAAATATTTGAAACGAAACTATAAAAATTTGTTTTAGATAAAGTTGTGTTCTTCTCTCCGAAATTCCGGTTGCTACCACGTTGCTAGGTAAATTGGAATTGACCAATCAGGTGCGATTTTGGTTGAAGGCCGTATTACCTGACAAATAAAATATTTTTCTTGCAAATCCTTACTGTGTACTTAATTACGGTTTAATAACGTCACACTCTCACCCTGCGTGGAGACCACGCATAACTTTGGGAAAATTAGCCTCTGAATACTAATTACCCTTCAGTTCCACCCTTTGAATACTAATTACCCTTTCTATACTTTGAATACTAATTACTTCCGTTATTGTATGGGGGGGGTTACCTACTAATGATTGTAATGTGGCATGTTATATTATATTTAATCAACCCGTTTGTGGGCTTAATCAATGTTGTAAAAAATTATTTTGAAAAAAAAATAAAAAAGACAAAAAAACAATTTTATGTTTCTAAAAAATTTTAATATTATTTCATCATAAATTTTAACATAAATTTTAATACAACTTTACGACTTTTATTTTTATAAGTGATATCTTAAAAAAAACTCTTCTCAACATCTTTTTCCCAAGTTTATTAAACTCATTAACTAATTTAGGTAATTTTATCTGCACATCAACCATCATCTTTCTCTTCGCATCCATCCCTAAGCTACCACCACTTTGGTTTTTTCTCCTGGTCTTCTTCCTCAAGGTCTTCTTCTTTGCTCGGAGAATCTTCTATCATTCGGTGCTAATCCTTGCCAATCCCTTTGCATAAAAATAGTCCCACCTTTTTGACTCTTGTTCTTCCTTTCCCCGACCTTACTCTCTGGAAGATTGAACGATACTCTTTTGGAATATTGTTTATGTTTTTATCATCGTTCCCCGCATTTTTCCCTGTCTCCTTGTTTCTCACCAAATCTCTAGGAACATTAATCTTATTTAACACCTGAAAGAACTCACATACACCCTCAGGATTAAAAGATTTACAATATCTCATGGCGTCCGAAATCAAATCGGAAATATTAGACTTTGGGATGAAAACACCCTCTAATTTGACTTGTCCTGTATTATCCCACGAAACAATCTCGGGTCTTGGCCAGCGGTATAAGTATTGAAGCAGCACCGCTACCCTTTTGAACAAGAAACCTCCTCTTCTTCTTAATTGAAACATTCCATCTTTACCAAAGCACGTAGTTGTCTCTTGTAGCATGTCAAATAACGTTTCTGATGTGAAGTTATTTGAATTACTCCTTTAAGGGCATTTAAAACAATCTCACTAATTGCTAAAATTAAATCGGGTGAACCGTATTGAAAAATCGCTTTCTGTACTTGCGGTTTTGATTTTGCCAATACTTGAATAAACGGAAGACTTCTTTCTATATACTCTGACATCTTGTAAATGAGATTCTAATAAAGAATCAATCAATTATATATTAATTGTAAGATTTAAAAGTACGTCAACATCCACCGGGCAGTTTATGTTAGAATCAATTGTAAATGTCATTTCAGTAACAATATCGGATTCAATTGGGATCGTCGGTTAATACTTGTCCGAATATTTGGAAATGGAGGAATTCAATCTTGTGCCCGGAGTAATAGGTAAATATGCAAGAACTGAACCGTACTCTTCTCTCCTTCCACAGCAATGCTTTTCATAGAATCAATAAGGTCACACAAAATCTTAAGATATCTCAAACATGGTTCACATCCACAGGATTTGGTGACTTCTTATTTTTTGTCAATGTATAATTCTCAGGAAAACCAAGAAGTTTACCAAACTTCTTTAAATTCACAGATGTATATTGTGAAGAATCAAAATCAACGTCGCATGTATTCTCATGAACATAGGGTGAAAGCGTAATGTGATCTAAAGAACACATAATTGTGACCTTGACTAAAAAGGTATAATAAGTTGTAAATATATATTGTTCCTTATTTTATTATGTATTTTAAATTATCGTATATATTTGTATGTAAAAGACACATAATTCAGTCTCATGACTGCAAGTGTCTCTTTTCTCTAATAAATTTTCTTCTAAATTTTCTAAATTTTCTGTGTTCTAATTTCAAACGCTCTTTCAAAAGCTGAAAATCCTAATATCCTTCTTGAAGTGTTTTTTCTTTGGTTGTGCTCGATGCACTCTTTGTAACCATGCTGAATTTATTATTGTCATTTGTAGTATTCTTAAACTTCTAAAACACCGTAACCTGTTTCAGTGTAATAGTGGACCCCTTCTGAGTTAAAAAAGGTTCTTTTAATCTCAATTTTCTTGAATTACCCGCAATAAATATGTTTCGCAAAGTCATCTTAACGTGAATGAATGTACACTCATTCTCACCTTTGCACATATACAATATGTCTCCCCCCAGGTAAAATATTTGTATGCAAACGAATACTCTCAGGGGTCTGGGGATGGCAATCAATTAATAAATATGTAAAAGTTGCTTTGTTGCATTGTTAAAAGAGTCTAATAAATACTGTGTTCGTCTTGGGAACATTTGTTTGGCCAATGTTGAAATCCCCAAAGAATCGCGTGGGTTCTTAAACGCAATAAAATATTGAGAATTCAGACTAATGGTTCTTGATAATTTCCCTGGAGGAAATAAATTCTGAGTTCTTCATGTCCTTATTCAACATATGATGAACCATATACACAAACGTAGGTCTCAATGCCTGCACAAGCTCGTTTCTAAGCCGGTGAACTCTCAAAAGGCAAACAAACCTAAAACAAGAGTCAATATCTAATGGTCGAACATATGTTTCGTGGTGACGATAAAATATACCTTTAATACCACATTTCGTTGGAGATTTAATATTAATTATTATCCCTTAATCCTTAATCCACGCACCTCTTAAAAACATGTGTATAAATGACCTCATCCCACTATAAAACAACCTCGTTCCCAGGGCCTTTTGGGACTTTATAGGGAGGGTTGAGGCTGCGGGGGGGGGGGTAGAGGAAAGGCCCTGGGATCGGCCAGCCGCTTCTGACTTCTGATTGGTTAAATGATTTTCCTAATTTATGTGTAATTAGCGGAATATTTTGTAATTATTCCGAACCGAGCTAATAAATAAGTTGGGGTGCGATCAAAGGGCGGTATAAAATGGCAGAACTGAACAAGACTCCAAATAAAATTTTGGCAAGGAATCCCGTTTGTAGACTTTGTCATGAGGCAAAAGAGAGACGACATGTGATCAGAATATTCACTAAAGCTGGTTTAGAACAAGAGCTCTGCCAGAAAGTCGAGTTTTCGTGTGGAATACGCATTAACGAAAACGATAGGAATTCAAAGGTATTGTGTAGATCTTGTGTGTCGTTCGTGAACAAGATATGCGAGTTTATAACTAAAGTGCGAATGTTACAAAACGACGAATTCGTTGACGATGTTGTTTCTGTAAAGCGTTGTGTTGAGGTGTCACCTTCTACTCGACAACCACAATTAAAGCGTCTAACTCCAAATAGTTCATCCAGGCAATTATTATTCGAAAAACCGGCCCAACAACAATGTCCAACAAGCAACTTACCCATTCCAATTCAGTACGATCAAGGACCAGTAGACACCGAGCATTTTTTGAGTGAGAAGCAGCGGCAGATGTTAACCCGAGCTATCAACTCGAAGGATGCAAATGTTCTAGCATTTATTCTGAAAGCACACTGTGACAATGTTATCAATGCTTTGCGAAAGTTACAAGTTAAATATATTAGCTTCTCAAGCTCCAAACTTTGCAAGCGCTCAGAAGGTTCTATCTTATATGGCAATGGCTATGAAAGTTTGACAGATTTTAACTATGACAAGATTTGGATTGAACTTAAAAATAATTTTCCCGTGCTAATAGAGCTTTTGAATGCGGTAGCTGATCGAGATGGAAAAAGTATTGATGACATTGGCGAAAGTTTACGCATCAAGTATAGTTTTATCTACTCCATTCTGATGAGTGAAAGATGGCATGAATTGAATCTCGTCAAGCGTGTGAACACAGTCCTTGTTATCGAGGGTGGATGTACTAAACAGGTACAGTAATAACAATATAGAAAAATGTTTGAAGTGAACTCCCCTCGGAATCCCTACTTTAAATATTTATTTCTTAATTAAGCTATTCCTGATTCTAGCCTCAGCTAATAGAACGTTTTCACTAAATTGCGTTTTGTATTGCTATACTTGCGGGTTTTCATTCATTAGGCATGTTATCGTGACTGTTTAAAAATAGCTTTGACATTGTACTAAAATTGTGCGTATATTTTTCAATCGGATTGGCGTATATATATTACCATAAGACTGACAAGTAGTATACATATATAATATTATTAAATTATATTTAATCATGATTATTTTATTTCATTTTACTTCAATAAATTATAATTTTTACAAATGCACGAGCGATTTTCCCGTCAATTTTATGTTGATTTTTAACTGTTCGTGACCTTGTTACTAATGATATTATGAAATTGACAAGTTTTGAAAAGCCTGTCAATTTCGTAAAATATGCTGTTATTGAAAACTTGTCATATTTCATCTTTTGCGAATAATTCAAAATTGATAATTAAGTTATTAAGAAATGTATCTGATTTTTAACTTGATGGCTAAAATATACGAGTCAATATAGTTACGTAGTCAATACGAGTCAACGCGTTCACGATAGGAGTTCTAAAATGTTTGGAGATAATTGGAAATAGTAATGTTCTTTCACATAAAAATTTTTCTTCAGTTTTTTTTTATTCAGAATTTTTTTTATTCAGAAAGTTATGTATGCCCAGATTAACAAACACTGTATTGTGATATTAAAAGAAACTTTCCTTTCTGTTTCGATCCGATACTGAGGAAAATTTTGTAAATCAGCTTTTATAACTTACTTTCTTTAGGAGATTTCTGTCTAGAATGTAGGGCAAATAAAGTTTCATTCCCTGTTTATAATGCTACATGAAGGGTCGCATGACTCGCATCTTGTTTATCAACATGCTCGCACAGAAATGCAAAATACATTCGAATCGCCGCAAATTAAAATTTGCCTAACGAATCAATCAAACATGTATTT